GGTGTTGAACTAAAAGTGGGTTGGCCCCTACCTTGCTACCCTTTACTGGCAAATTCCCCCTCCCTGCGATTCCCTCTATTGAGTGACTGTCATCTGTGTGTCTCAATAAAGCTTTGAGCGTTTGCCATCTACTCTCTAGGTTCTGTCCTGCCTTCCCTCCGTCACATAGTAAAACAGTACAAAGAGGCCCAGTGGAAAGGGTCACACTACTGGGGCACTTACAACAGTTCATTGAAGAGTCATCGATATGTGGTTCCGAGCTGACAACAGCGTCTGTCACGGCCTGGCCAGTCCAACTCAAGAGGAAGCTTCCTGAAGAGGTATTTATAGGCCCTACTCTTTCCCTACTACACCAAACATTCCCCTATCACTAATGATATCCCTGAAATCCCCGGGTATCCTGTCCCTACACTAGCAACTCACATCAAGCTCACCAAAGCCCGGGGGGGGGGGGGACAGGAACTTAAAAATAACCAAGATGGCTACTCCAGGTGACCAATGAAACCATAGAGCAGCCTTTCTCAATCTTTTCAACGCAGAAGAACCCTTGACATAACTTTCCGGTCTCAGAACCCGTGCTGAAGTGACTTTATCTACTATTCATGATAAATTAATGTGTGATAGTCAGAGTAAGAATGCTCCTTACACTGGTGGTCATTGGGAAGAATGCTCCTTACACTGGTGGTCATTGGGAAGAATGCTCCTTACACTTGTGGTCATTGGGAAGAATGCTCCTTACACTTGTGGTCATTGGGAAGAATGCTCCTTACACTTGTGGTCATTGGGAAGAATGCTCCTTACACTTGTGGTCAGTGGGAAGAATGCTCTTTACACTTGTGGTCATTGGGAAGAATGCTCCTTACACTTGTGGTCATTGGGAAGAATGCTCCTTACACTTGTCATTGGGAAGAATGCTCCTTACACTGGTGGTCATTAGGAGGAATGATCCTTACACTTCTGGTCATTGGGAAGAATGCTCCTTACACTTGTGGTCATTGGGAGGAATGCTCCTTACACTTGTGGTCAGTGGGAAAAATGCTCCTTACACTTGTGGTCAGTTACATGCTCCTTTGTGGTCAGTGGAAGAATGAAGAATGCTCCTTACACTTGTGGTCAGTGAATGGAAGAATGCTTCTTACACTTGTGGTCATTGGGAAGAATGCTCCTTACACTGGTGGTCATTAGGAGGCATGATCCTTACCTTCTTGTGGTCATTGGAAGAATGCTCCTTACACTTGTGGTCATTGGGAATGCTCCTTACACTTGTGGTCATTGGGAAGAATGCTCCTTACACTTGTGGTCATTGGGAAGAATGCTCCTTACATGCTTGTTGTCAGTGGGAAGAATGCTCCTTACACGTGTGGTCATTGGAAAGAATGCTCCTTACACACTTGCGGTCATTGGGAAGAATGCTCCTTACACTTGTGGTCATTGGGAAGAATGCTCCTTACACTTGTGGTCAGTGGGAAGAATGCTCCTTACACTTTGTGGTCAGTGGAAGAAGAATGCATTGGAAAGAATGCTCCTTACACTTGTGGTCAGAGGGAAGAATGCTCCTTACACTGTGTGGACATTGGGAAGAATGCTCCTTACACTTGTCATGGGAAGAAGACACTTGTGGTCAGAGGGAAGAATGCTCCTTACACTTGTGGTCATTGGGAAGAATGCTCCTTACACTTGCGGTCATTGGGAGGAATGCTCCTTACACTTGTGGTCACTGGGAAGAATGCTCCTTACGCTTGTGGTCATTGGGAAGAATTACCCCCTTACAGATTGCTGAATGGATCAATGGTGTCAGTGGGAACTTACCTGAGAGCCAAAATTTGCTCATTGTTCAAAGAACCCCTGGCAACCTCTGGAACCCTGGTTGAGAAAACCTGCCATAGAGAAACCCATTTTCTCTCGACTTCCTCCCCCAGCTGCTTTCCGGTTACAATCAAGCACCACCTTGCATGAAGACTGTAGACTGCACATGCCCACAATAGAGCCCCATAAAAGTGATCTGGTGGCTCTAGTGCCTTCTGGATCACTTTTATCAGAAAGCCCTTCACTAGGCTGGTACCAAGCCCACAGCTGCAGCAGAAGCCATGAGCTTGATTTAGCCACTTGTCTACCATGCCGCTTAAGAACCTACAATACCTTGGTAGACAAGTGGTTAATCCTGAAGAACATTTCATGAGATCCAGCAGGTAAATAAAATGGGAAAAGCCTGCTTTGCATTATCTCCTCCATTCCCCCACCAGCACTTGGCACCAATCCTCACTGTATAGAATTTATAGGATTGCCTTGGAATCTCAGCTATTAGGCCAACATTATCCCTTTGGTTGTGTTCTTACAGATATGCAATCATACGTTCAGCGCAGACAATTATCTACCCGTGTAATTGTACAACCGAGCTCGCCAGTCAAAGGAGTGCGTGCAGCCGCCGTGGTCTAAAGGTTTCCAAGAAAGTGTCGGTTGGAGAGTTCATAAAATGCGCGGCCGCTCACTCCCGCATCCCGCTAAGTGCTCAATTATTTTTCCACTGTGTCATTGCAGCTCCATTTATCCGCATTCTTTACCATCATAATTTCCTCTTTTATATGTTTCCTGACATTCGTGCGGCTAAAAATATCCCCCATCTGAACAAACTATGGAGACAATAGTATAGGACGGCCGCTCGCTTTCTGGTTCGGGCGGAACTCTGCCGTCGGGACACTTTGGGCTCACCAGCCTGGAAGACCATTTAGAGTTTACTAAAAGCTTCTTTAGCCGTACATGAGAATGGGGATCGCCTAAGTCCCCAGTCACACCGGTGCAGCTTGTCGTGTGATCTGATCATTTCAAATCGCATCCTATTGTCCACAATGGAAGCGGTCATATTGGTGCGGTTCCAACTCCAATTTTGCAAGAACTTCATACACTATTTTTTGGCAAGTTCAGGTGCGACCTGCATAGACAACGGTGCATGAAGTCACTCAGTCTCTGTCCTGCAACCAGAATTAGGTAAGTGCAGTCCTCAGGCCTTCCGCTGGGATGACTCCTTTCCTGGCTCTAAAGGGGGCCAGTGAGGCTGAGCAATCCTCCTTTCCAGCGCCCTGCCTGTAGATAGGCCCATTTCCCAGTGGGCTCCCTCCCGGGCTCCTGCATCTCAGCTTCCTCACATCTTCCACCCAAGCTTGCCTGCTGCTGAGCAGGTGCAGTCACTCTTAAGGGCTGTCCTGATGCCAAGCCTCCTGCTTGGGGATTGGCCAGGATTTTATTTATTTCAGGTACTTATATAGCGCCATCAATTTACGCAGCGCTTTACATATATATTGTACATTCACATCAGTCCCTAACCCTCAAGGGGCGTACAATCTAAAGTCCCTAACCCTCAAGGGGCATACAGTCTAAGGTCCCTAACCCTCAAGGGGCATACAGCCCTAAGGTCCCTAACCCTCAAGGGGCATACAATCTAAGGTCCCTAACCCTCAAGGGGCGTACAATCTAAGGTCCCTAACCCTCAAGGGGCGTACAGTCTAAGGTCTCAAACCCTCAAGTGGCATACAGCCTAAGGTCCCTAACCTTCAAGGGGTGTACAGTCTAAGGTCCCTAACCCTCAAGGGGCGTACAGCCTAAGGTCCCTAACCCTCAGGGGAGTACAGTCCAAAGTCCCTAACCCTCAAGGGGCGTACAGCCTAAGGTCCCTAACCCTCAAGGGTCGTACAGTCTAAGGTCCCTAACCCTCAAGGGGCATACAGCATAAGGTCCCTAACCCTCAAGGGGCGTACAGTCTAAGGTCTCTAACCCTCAAGTGGCTTACAGTGTAAGGTTCCTAACCCTCAAGTGGAGCACAGTCTAAGGTCCCTAACCCTCAAGGGGCCTACAATCTAAGGTCCCTAACCCTCAAGGGGCATACAATCTAAGGTCCCTAACCCTCAAGGGGCGTACAGTCTAAGGTCCCTAACCCTCAAGGGGCGTAAAATCTAAGGTCTCTAACCCTCAAGTGGCGTACAGTGTCAGATTCCTAACCCTCAAGGGGCGTACAATCTAAGGTCCCTAACCCTCAAGGGGCGTACAGTCTAAGGTCCCTAACCCTCAAGGGGCGTACGGTCTAAGGTCCCTAACCCTCAAGGGGCGTACAGTCTAAGGTCCCTAACCCTCAAGGGGCGTAAAATCTAAGGTCTCTAACCCTCAAGTGGCGTACAGTGTAAGATTCCTAACCCTCAAGGGGCGTACAATCTAAGGTCCCTAACCCTCAAGGGGCGTACAGTCTAAGGTCCCTAACCCTCAAGGGGCGTACAATCTAAGGTCCCTAACCCTCAAGGGGCGTACGGTCTAAGGTCCCTAACCCTCAAGTGGCATACAGTCTAAGGTGCCTAACCCTCAAGGTTCCTACAGTCTAAGGTCCCTAACCCTCAAGGGGCGTACGGTCTAAGGTCCCTAACCCTCAAGGGCGTACGGTCTAAGGTCCCTAACCCTCAAGGGGCGTACAGTCTAAGGTGCCTAACCCTCAAGGGGTGTACAGTCTAAGGTCCCTAACCCTCAAGGGGCGTACAATCTAAGGTGCCTAACTCACATTCATACATACATATACTAGGGCCAATATAGACAGGAGCCAATTCACCTACCAGCATGTCTTTGGAGTGTAGGAGGAAACCGTAGTACCCGGAGGAAATTTGAGACACACGAAATCATAAATTTATAATTTAATAAATAATCATGAAAAATAATAATAAATTTAATTAAATAATATAATCAAACCAAAAACACTGAAATGTGAAATAGAGCGCCAAGTTCGCACATCGCTGAGCAAAGTTGCAAAATCGTTTTCAGTGTCTGATGAGGAATTTCCCCCACGAATCATTATCACTCAATTCTGCAAGTGGTTCTGATTTACTATCGCTGTTCTCTAGCCGGTCTAAAACCGCTTTTGACCTAAAGGGACGCTTTTTGGACGCCATGGACGTTTCTCAGTTTCCAGGCAGAAAGAACAGTAACAATGCAGGCAGGGCGCCGGACAAAGCACTCGGGACAAAATGTATGTGAAATGGTTTGATACAGGAATGTTATACTATGTGATTTTAGTGTATTTAGTGAATGTCACTTTTACAACTTTCACATTTCCCGCCAGTTCTGTCCCCCGTACGTCTCTCGCAGGGAACGGAATCCGGAAGACAGATGCCGGCATCAGCGGAAGACATTACAGGGGACACTGCAGGGGGGGACATCGCGGGAGCGCAGGACAAGGTAAGAGAAGAACAGATCCATGAGCAACGCTGCAATGTATTCCCGAGTGTAGCTCGGGGTAAAGTTTCAGCACCACAAACGGTAACCCCCCCGAGCTACACTACGCCAGGAAGGTTAATGTTTTTTTAACCCCCTCAATACCAAACACTTTCACCCTCCCCCCCCCCCCTTGACCCCCTTCCTGCCCAGGCCAATGTTCAGCTTTCAGCGCTGTCGCACTTTGAATGACGATTACTCAGTCATGCCACACTGTACCCATATGACATTTTTTCTGCATTTTTTTTCGAGATAGAGCTTTCTTTTGGTGGTACAGGCGTACCTCGGTTTACAAATTTAATGCATTAATGCATTATTAATATTATTATACAGGATTTATATGGCGCCAACAGTTTGCTCAGCACTTTACAATGTAACGGGAGACAATACAGCAACAATACAGATTAATGCAAGAGGGATAGGAGGGCCTGATCCTGGGAGCTTACAATCTAGGAGGGAGGGGCTAGTGGTACAAAAGGTAGTAACTGTGGAGGATGGACTGGTAGGAGGAGTAGAAGGCTGAGGGCAGGATAGGCTTCCCTGAAGAGATAGGTTTTCAGAGATCTCCTAAAAGTGGGCAGAGTAGTCGATAGTCAGACAGATTGGGGTAGAGAGTTCCAGAGGATGGGGGACTCTGGAAAAGTCCTGGAGACAAGTAAGGGAGGAGGAGACAAGGGAGCTAGAGAGCAGGAGGTCATGCGAGAAGCAGAGAGTATGGTTTGGGTGATATTTTGAGACAAAATCGCTGATGTAATTTGGGGCGGAGTTATAAATGGCTTTATATGTTATTGTTAATGTTTTGAATTTTATCCGTTGGGCAATGGGAAGCCAGTGGAGGGATTGGCAGAGAGGGTGGAGGACACTGAGTGGAGACCAGTGGAGACATCGAAGTCAGATGGTTGATCGGCGATCAGTCGAGAACCGAATGCATTTCTGTAAACAAGTGACTTTCTTCAGCACTGCTAAAGGACTCTGCTTCTACTGAGTTCAATAGAGAAAGGACTGGTCCTCCAGCAGTGCAGAGTATTTCAGGAGAGAAGAGTTATAGAGGAAGGAGTGGAGTCCTCCAGCAGTGCAGAGTATTTCAGGAGAGAAGAGTTATAGAGGAAGGAGTGGAGTCCTCCAGCAGTGCAGAGTATTTCAGGAGAGTTATAAGAGGAAGGAGCGGAGTCCTCCAGCAGTTGCAGAGTTATTTCAGGAGAGTTATAGAGGAAGGAGCGGAGTCCTCCAGCAGTGCAGAGTATTTCAGGAGAGAGAGAGTTATAGAGGAAGGAGCGGAGTCCTCCAGCAGTGGCAGGAGTATTACAGTCTAAGGTCCCTAACCCTCAAGGGGCGTACAATCTAAGGTGTGCCTAACTCACATTCATACATACATATACTAGGGCCAATATAGACAGGAGCCAATTCACCTACCAGCATGTCTTTGGAGTGTAGGGAGAAACCGTAGTAACCGGAGGAAACCCACGCAGGCACAGGGAGAACATGCAAACTCAGGCAGGTGGTGCTGTGTCGGGATTCGACCCAACGACCTGAATACTGCCAGGCAGAAGTGCTAACCACTTAGCCCATTGTGCTGCCCAGTTTTTAAAATCACAAAATGCACCTTGAGTCGCACTGAAATCCGACACTTTTGAAATCATGCGAATGACCGAAGTTCGTAATGCAGGCCATAGACAGTTTCGAAATCGGCTGATTTTTTCCATCCATTAAAAAAAAAAAAAAAAAAAAAAAAAAAAAAAAAGAATAATCGGCTGATTTTCGCAGTTAGTGGGCAATGGCAGAAGAATCAGCATTCAGCCGATTTTTGTGGTTCCTCCTCATTTTGTTTATCGGGCATTCTTGAAAATTCGTGTATAACGGCAGAGGATTTTCGAAAATCATTGGTGGCAACATTGGATTACAGAACGAACGATGTTTCCTTTTTTCGGATGAAAAATCAGCCGATGTTTGAACCGTCTATGGCCTGCCATAACTGCAATAAAGGCCAAACTCTGGACTCCGCATTCCCCCCCAGGCTGCCCCCCCTTTTCTTCCCAAAAGGTCCCCCTGCAATGTTTTTTCTATTTTTTTTTTTTGTCAATGGGCAGAATAAAAGCACAAAATGCGGCAAAAAATACATAATTTGCACTTTTTATGCAGTTCCATTGAAGTCTATGGAGCAAAAAACACAAAATAAAAAATTGTTCCCGACCCTTTCCAAAAACGCATAGATGTGAACGTGCTCCATAGGAAACCATGTTAAATGGACTATCCGTTAGCGTATTTTCATTCACATAGCAAAACTTAATCCCTTCCCCCAAAAGGACGTACAATGTACATCCTCTGGTTGAAGCGGACATACCGGGGGGGGGCCATGGCTGCAAGCAACCGCTCAGCGTGCGTTCCACTCACCGGAAGTGACGCAGGACGTATGGACGACAGACTGGAAGTGCGGCGACGTGTTTCGCCCCTCCCACAGTGCGTTCTCAAGGTCCCATACAGCCAACCTTAATGCCCCCCCCCAAAAAAAAATACATAGTTTACTGTGCTTCAGTTATAAATGAACACAGTCAGTAATTGGTACCGATCACTCATCACTGTGTTCATTCAGGACAGAAAGAGGCTGGCAAATGTGAAAAAATTACCGGACATCCTGTACAAATCCTATTGTGTGCTTGCAGCTGCCAGTGGGGAGAAGAGGTAGGAAAGTCGGCAGCACTGTTAATGGGTTAGGGGGGTACACAGGGGTGCCTGGGCAGCAGGGGGAAATCTATGGTGCACAAGGAGGGTTGATTGGTGTGGTGGCGGAGGGGGAGGTGACAAGCAGCGATCTCCTGTATGGCTTTCAATGAAGCAGCTGGAAGTCTCAGGTGGGAGAGGAGATGCGGCTTCCAGCTGCTTCATTGAAAGCCATACAGGAGATCGCTGCTTGTCACCGCCCCCACCGCTGCACAGATCCTCCCACCTCTTTCTTTCTTCCACCCACCGTTCCCTTCCTTCCTTCCACCCCCCCCCACCCCCCCCTTCCTTCCACCCCCCCTCTTCCTTCCTTCCACCCACCCCTTCCTTCCTTCCTTCCTTCCACCCACCCTTCCTTCCTTCCACCCACCTCTTCCTTTCTTCCACCCACTCCTTCCCTCATTTTATCCACCCAACCCTTCCTTCCATCCTTCGACCCACCCCTCCTTCTCCTTTCCATCCACCCTTTCCTTCCATCCACCCATCATCCCTTTCTTACATCCACCCTTTTCCCTCCCCCTCCCTCCCTTCCTCCCTCCCTCTTTTCCTTCCTTCCTTCCTTCCTTCCTTCCTTCCTTCCTTCCTCCTCCTTCCTTCCTTTCCTTCCTTCCTTCCTTCCTCCCCAGCTACCCCTCCCTTCCTTGCTTCCATCCACCCCTTCTTTCCTATCTTCCACCTTCCTTCCTTTCTTCCTTCCTTCCTTCCTTCTTTTCCTTCCTGTGGGGTGTGTGGGGCAACATGGGACTCAGGCTAGCAGGATGAATTGGATGCCCACATCCAATTCATCCTGCTGGCCTGGGCCCCCCAGCTGGCCTGGGCCCTATACAGGAGGACAGGTGGTACCCCCTCATCATCCACTGCCCTGTTTTTAAGTAATCCTTTATAACTGGCCCACACATGTAAGCCAGCAAGGTGCTGGGGCCGCATATAGGGAAAGCAGTGCTGCTGGTTCACACCCGCCTCTCCTTCCACCCACTTCTTTTCCAGGATCCCTCTGACGTGCCATCCCAAGGGCGGCCACATGCCAGCTCTGCCACGCAGACCCCTGCTCTATACCTTTCACACACACTAAATAATATACACTGATTTGGGATATTTTTACCAAAGAAATGGAGCAGAATATATATTTGGGCTTTATTAAGAAATTAAGAAAAACAAAGAAGAAAGTTTTCTTGTATTTTGCTTTTGTGTTCTTTTTTTTTTTTCAAGAAATTGCCAATATCACCTGCAAAATTGTGTTTTCTGGATTACCGTCAAATGTGGAAGAAAAAAGATAAGTGATCTAAATCAGCTTTGCAAAAATTTGACAAAAAGAACAGAATAGTTATCTTCCCCTAGAATCACATTTTTGATATGAATGGGCCGCCAGCAGACTTTTCTTACTTTAGTTATTCCATTTTTGCTGACACGGCATTTACTAGAAGCCATAAACTGATGCAGAAATCTCTGTGCCTTCAAGAATGTGTTTTATGTATGAACGCCGGCCAACATCTGGACATAATCTCCCATTCCGTATCCGCAGTGTGACCCCTCAGCACGAAGGGCCCGATATCTTGCACATGAATTTAGACCCGTGTGTGTGTTTCTCACGTTCAATTAATCCGCACTTTATCTAAATGGATGGCCGTATTACGAAGGGATTAGTCTGTGCCAGGACGGTGCGAGGTTTCTGGATATCGGGTTGTGGCACTCAGCGCTCTGTGCTGCTCTGTACTGGGAACCCCACACAGGCCCACCGGCGGGAGACTCGGCCAATTGAATCCGGTCATTAATCAAACCCCCGGCCCATCAAAGGAGGGAATTTCCTCTAATTAAAGGATTTCACGCTCTGTTACCTGTTACATTTCCCGCATAGATTTCATTGTATTCACACAATTCTGACACACAGACAATGGTGGAGGGCTTTATAAAATGGACACAACGATAAACGTGGGCTTGTGTGCCGCCGTCTTTTGTCCTTCATACATTGAATGGGAATTTTTTACTTGTTTTGTTAACCTCCCTAGCAGTCACCTGATTATGTCCGTATTTCTGTGCTCAAAGCGGTACATTTTTTTTGCATGGAAATAATGTCGTTTTTTTATTGTAGGCCTGTAATTTTTAGGAATAACTCACTGAAATCTGTCCGAACAAGAGTCTAGTAAACATCCCGGGGATGATAAAATTTGAAACACGAAATCATAAATTATAATTTAACCTCCCTGGCGGTATTCCCGAGTGTAGCTCGGGTAAAGTTTTAGTACCAAAAGCGGTAACCCCCGAGCTACACTCGGGCTTACCTTGCGGCGCTGCATAGGGAGTCCCTGCAGCACTTACCTTGTCCTTCGCTCCCACGATGTGTCCCCTGAAGCGTCCCCGGCCATCTCCTCCGGCTGATGCCGGCATCCGGCTTCTGTGTTCCGGTCCCTGTGACGTCGGGACGACGGGCGGCGGCGGCGGCGGGAAATTTGAAAATTTAAAAAATGTCATTTTTTTCAAAACACATTTTTGACAGTAAAACATTGCTGTTTCAACCCATTTCACATACATATTGTCCCGAGTGCTTTGTCCTGTCCCCTGCCTGCATTTTGTCTGTCTTTCTGCCTGGAAACTTAGAAAAATCCATGGCGTCCAAAAAATGTCCCTTTAGGTCAAAAGCGGTTTTAGACCGGCTAGAGAACAGCGATAGTAAATCAGAACCACTTGCAGAATTGAGTGATAATGATTTGTGGGGGGAAATTCCTCATCAGACACTGAAAACGATTCTGCGACTTTGCTCAGCGATGTACGAATTGGCGCTCTATTTCACATTTCAGTGTTTTCGGTTTGATTATATTATTGAATTAAATGTATTATTATTATATTATTATTTTTTATGATTATTTTATTAAATTATAATTTATGATTTGTGTTTCAAATTTTATCATCCCCCGGGATGTTTAATAGACTCTTGTTCGGACAGATTTTCAGTGAGTTATTCCTAAAAATTACAGCCTACAATAAAAAAACTACATATTTATATGCAAAATAATGGAGCTTTCAGCACCGAAAATCTGAAATAATCATAACCGCCAGGGAGGTTAATAAATAATCATAAAAAAATAATATAATAATAATACATTTAATTCAATAAATAATCAAATGGCACTTATATGATGGGCTTTAACCTCCTTCTGATTATATCAGTATTTCTGTGCTCAAAGCGGCACATTATTTTAGTATTTTTTTTTATCGCTCAGTAATTTTTAGGCACTGAAAATCTGTCCACAAGAGTTAGTAAACATCCCGGGATTAAAATTTGAGACACGAAATCATATAAATATAATTTAATAAATAATCATAAAAAAATAATAATAAATTTAATTAAATAATATAATCAAACCAAAAACACTGAAATGTGAAATAGAGCGCCAAGTTCGCACATCGCTGAGCAAAGTTGCAGAATCGTTTTCAGTGTCTGATGAGGAATTTCCCCCACGAATCATTATCACTCAATTCTGCAAGTGGTTCTGATTTACTATCGCTGTTCTCTAGCCGGTCTAAAACCGCTTTTGACCTAAAGGGACGCTTTTTGGACGCCATGGACGTTTCTCAGTTTCCAGGCAGAAAGAACAGTAAACAATGCAGGCAGGGCGCGGACAAAGCACTCGGGACAAAATGTATGTGAAATGGTTTGATACAGGAATGTTATACTATGTGATTTTAGTGTATTTAGTGAATGTCACTTTTACAACTTTCACATTTCCCGCCAGTTCTGTCCCCCGTACGTCTCTCGCAGGGAACGGAATCCGGAAGACAGATGCCGGCATCAGCCGGAAGACATTACAGGGGACACTGCAGGGGGGACATCGCGGGAGCGCAGGACAAGGTAAGAGAAGAACAGATCCATGAGCAACGCTGCAATGTATTCCCGAGTGTAGCTCGGGGTAAAGTTTCAGCACCACAAACGGTAACCCCCCCGAACTACACTACGCCAGGAAGGTTAATGTTTTTTTAACCCCCTCAATACCAAACACTTTCACCCTCCCCCCCCCCCCCCCCCTTGACCCCCTTCCTGCCCAGGCCAATGTTCAGCTTTCAGCGCTGTCGCACTTTGAATGACGATTACTCAGTCATGCCACACTGTACCCATATGACATTTTTTCTGCATTTTTTTTCGAGATAGAGCTTTCTTTTGGTGGTACAGGCGTACTCGGTTTACAAATTTAATGCATTAATGCATTATTAATATTATTATACAGGATTTATATGGCGCCAACAGTTTGCTCAGCACTTTACAATGTAACGGGAGACAATACAGCAACAATACAGATTAATGCAAGAGGGATAGGAGGGCCTGATCCTGGGAGCTTACAATCTAGGAGGGAGGGGCTAGTGGTACAAAAGGTAGTAACTGTGGAGGATGGACTGGTAGGAGGAGTAGAAGGCTGAGGGCAGGATAGGCTTCCCTGAAGAGATAGGTTTTCAGAGATCTCCTAAAAGTGGGCAGAGTAGGCGATAGTCAGACAGATTGGGGTAGAGAGTTCCAGAGGATGGGGGACTCTGGAAAAGTCCTGGAGACAAGTAAGGGAGGAGGAGACAAGGGAGCTAGAGAGCAGGAGGTCATGCGAGAAGCAGAGAGTATGGTTTGGGTGATATTTTGAGACAAAATCGCTGATGTAATTTGGGGCGGAGTTATAAATGGCTTTATATGTTATTGTTAATGTTTTGAATTTTATCCGTTGGGCAATGGGAAGCCAGTGGAGGGATTGGCAGAGAGGGGTGGAGGACACTGAGTGGAGGTCAGTGGAGGGATTGGCAGAGAGGGGTGGAGGACACTGAGTGGAGGTCAGTGGAGGGATTGGCAGAGAGGGGTGGAGGGCACTGAGTGGAGAGACCAGTGGGAGACATCGAAGTCAGATGGTTGATCGGCGATCAGTCGAGAACCGAATGCATTTCTGTAAACAAGTGACTTTCTTCAGCACTGCTAAAGGACTCTGCTTCTACTGAGTTCAATAGAGAAAGAACTGGTCCTCCAGCAGTGCAGAGTATTTCAGGAGAGAAGAGTTATAGAGGAAGGAGTGGAGTCCTCCAGCAGCGCAGAGTATTTCAGGAGAGGAGAGTTTATAGAGGAAGGAGCGGAGTCCTCCAGCAGTGCAGAGTATTTCAGGAGAGTTATAGAGGAAGGAGCAGAGTCCTCCAGCAGTGCAGAGTATTTCAGGAGAGTTATAGAGGAAGGAGCAGAGTCCTCCAGCAGTGCAGAGTATTTCAGGAGAGTTATAGAGGAAGGAGCGGAGTCCTCCAGCAGCGCAGAGTATTTCAGGAGAGGAGAGTTATAGAGGAAGGAGCGGAGTCCTCCAGCAGTGCAGAGTATTTCAGGAGAGTTATAGAGGAAGGAGCGGAGTCCTCCAGCAGTGCAGAGTATTTCAGGAGAGTTATAGAGGAAGGAGCGGAGTCCTCTAGCAGCGCAGAGTATTTCAGGAGAGGAGAGTTATAGAGGAAGGAGCGGAGTCCTCCAGCAGAGCAGAGTATTTCAGGAGAGGAGAGTTATAGAGGAAGGAGCGGAGTCCTCCAGCAGTGCAGAGTATTTCAGAGAGAGGAGATATAGAGGAAGGAGCGGAGTCCTCCAGCAGAGCAGAGTATTTCAGGAGAGGAGGTAATAGAGGAAGGAGCGGAGTCCTTCAGCAGTGCAGAGTATTTCAGGAGAGGAGAGGTATAGAGGAAGGAGCGGAGTCCTCCAGCAGAGCAGAGTATTTCAGGAGAGGAGACATGAATATTCAGGAAGGAGCGGAGTCCTCCAGCAGGGCAGAGTATTTCAGGAGAGGAGAGTTATAGAGGAAGGAGCGCAGTCCTTCAGCAGTGCAGAGTATTTCAGGAAGGAGTTATAGAGGAAGGAGGGAGTCCTCCAGCAGTGCAGAGTATTTCAGGAGAGGAGTTATAGAGGAAGGAGCGGAGGCGCCTCCAGTAGTATACAATGGTCTCTACTGTATGGATTGCACCATGAGTCTCTTTATTCAGATACGGTTAAGATAACGGGGTGACTCGGTTCTTACTCCAAACCTCGGAATGGGTCTGTTGCATGTTCACACTTGGCTAATTTTCAGACATTGCATATTCCCGATATTGGGGTGATATCATGGACATCTGAAAGTACACGGGATCCCAGGGCACTCTGTGATCTCTGTTGGTGATTGTTCATCACGCCGTGGACCCTTTTAACAGACTTTGTGGTAATCTCTTACGGCTGTGTAAGGTGAGCGGAGCGCCACGTGTGGCTTCCCTGCACATTGCAATGCGAGGGTCAGCATAGTACATCCAGGATACGGTTGGGATAGACGGGGTGACTCGGATCTTACTCCAGAACCTCCGGCTGGGTCAGTGATGCATGGTCTCCCTGGCTTTGTGTCATTTTTCAGACATTGCATAGAGAACTATTCCCGATATTGGGGTGATATCATTCAGGGAGCATCTGAAAGTCTCACAGGGACCAGGGCAGCTCTGTGATCTGTGATGTGTTCAGACCCCGCATTCACTATTCCGCTCTCACCGGACCCGCATTCACTATATCTGGTCTCCCTGGACCCCGCATTCACTATATCCGGTCTCCCCAGACCCTGAATTCACTATATCCTCTCTCCCTGGACCCTGCATTCACTATATCCGGTCTCCCTGGACCCGCATTCACTATATCACCTGCTCTCCCCCCGGACCCTGCATTCACTATATCCTGGTCTCCCTGGACCCCGCATTCACTATATCCGCTCTCCCCGGACCCCGCATTCACTATATCCGCTCTCCCCGGACCCCGCATTCACTATATCCGCTCTCCCCGGACCCTGCATTCACTATATCTGGTCTCCCGGACCCCGCATTCACTATATCCGCTCTCCCCGGACCCCGCATTCACTATATCCGCTCTCCCCGGACCCCTGCATTCACTATATCCGTCTCCCCGGACCCCGCATTCACTATATCCGCTCTCCCCGGACCCTGCATTCACTATATCTGGTCTCCCCGGACCCTGCATTCACTATATCCGCTCTCCCCGGACCCCGCATTCACTATATCCAGTCTCCCCGGACCCTGCATTCACTATATCCGCTCTCCTTGGACCCCGCATTCACTATATCCGCTCTCCTTGGACCCTGCATTCACTATATCCGCTCTCCCTGGACCCTGCATTCACTATATCCGCTCTCCCGGACCCTGCATTCACTATATCCAGCTCTCCCCGGACCCTGCATTCACTATATCCGCTCTCCCCAGACCCCGCATTCACTATATCTGGTCTCCCCGGACCCTGCATTCACTATATCCGGTCTC